CGGAATAACGGAAAGAACGGTAATACATCGCGACAACTCCTATCGATTTTTATACTTGCATATAGCGAGTGTTTTAACGGACTCAAGACTGCAGCGTCTCCAAGGAGTGTCTTCTATCAACACGATTCTATCGCAAAGGATCAATAAAAATTATTGGATAAACATGGGAATTGTTCTGAATTTTTATTTCCAGAACAAAACTGGCAATCCAGCGACACAGAATAGTCGTTTAAAAAAAATGTTTTTGATATGTAGAAAATCTCGTCCGATCGTGTTAGGGTACATATAGTACATATATCGGAGCAATGGATACATGTTAAACTCGGAGCATCAATCTTTTTTTTTCTTTATTTATTAAAAAAAGAAAATGTATACGTTTAAATTAATATTATAAGCTTAATATGAATATTTGTTATTTAACGTGAATTTATTATTTTATATAAATTGTTACAGATTATCTTTTAATCGTACATAATAAAGGAATATTGAGTATGTAATAAGGATGCAACATAATAACTCTCGTTTTTGTCTTAGCGATATAATTATTATCGGTTAATAAATTCCACATTGATTTTTTTTTATCCCAATAAATACTGCACGGAGGTAGATTAAAAATATGTGTCGTTAATTCTTTAATGGTCGTTAAAAGGATTTTAAACGGTCGCTGCTTAATTCCGCACAATCAAGCTCTCAGCGGAACGGAAATTAACTGCCGGCATGAATTTGTATAAACTTTTAATCTCCTCCATTAATTGGCACGCGATAAAATATCGATGGTAAATTAACAGCTAACTAGGACGACATATCGTACGTCGGAAGTTTCGGTTTCGAAACGTGATAATTAAGCTTAAACATGGCACTTGAAATCGGAAGTACAGGACGTTCGTCACTTGCGCTTAAATTAAATGGCATGCTCGAGGTATTGTATTCATGGACTTTATCAACGAGCGACTACGCACGCGGCAGGTCGAAATAATTGATTGCTAGTCCGCTGCTATATTAAACCTTTATGAATATGCATCAAATATTGACGAAATCACGAAATGTTTGACTTCCAGTAGTCGTCTATTCGCACTTGAACGATTACTTTCTTGTCCTCAGAAAGAGAGAGAG